TCAAGGTAGATGGGAAATGGAGAGGGAACTCATCAGGTTTTCTTACTAGGAAAGCTCAGAAAGCCTTAGGTCAGGCATGGGGGGACCATAGATGTGGGGGTGTATTGGGACTGCTAGAGGCCGAGTTGTCATCACTTGCGGGCCTGATCACAGCTCAAACACAGGAGACCATGGGAGGAGCCTGGGGAACACCTGCCTGCAGATCTCAAACCCCACCCCCCTCATCACCTCACCGGTGCCTCCAGTCACAGGACCTGTGTGCTCTGTCCTCATACGTGGCTCCTGCTTGGCCAAAGTCTGGAGGTAGAAGCTTAGATATCCGGCTAATTAACTAGGCCACCTTTGCCCTAGACACTATGGTGCAGGAGGGTGTTGTAGAGAGGAAAGGTGAGTTAGACTGGATTCAGGCTTCTAGAGAGTGGGAGGAAGGGGAAGGCTCTCACCTGCGGTCCTTTGGGAGGACCTGTTCCTCTTTGTTATCTCAACCAAACATTTTTGTGTATAGTTCATTTGGGGGTGGGTTGGGGTAGAGGGGCAGGACATTTTTGCAGTTTTCCAACCAAATTGGTGTAATGGCGCAACCATCAAGCTAGCTGGTGTGCAGGACCGGCAGGACCCGAAGGCCTGAGTTTTGATGGCTCTTTTTGATTCCAGGTTTCTGAAATCCAAGTGGATTAACACAAAATTCAGAGACCTATACATGCCTAGTACTGGAGCCCTCATGTTGCTGACAGCACTGCATACCTGTGACCAGGTAAGAGGTCTTCCCTCTCAGGAGCCCACAGCAGCAAAGTAGGTTTGAATGGAACCTAATTCGATCCATGATATCCCCTACATGAGAGGCCTGCTAGCCCAGATCTGGCACTCTGGGCCTCTATCCTGTGGCGGAAGGATGCCCCAGCTGCAGGAGTGATCTTGGTCTCGGGAACGGGATGGCAGAAGTGGTCTTCAGGGTCCCTTATAGGACAGTCCCCTGTGCCAGCCTTGAGTTCCCAATCACAGCCACCTTCCCCTGGGCTGGCTTCTTTCACCCCCTCTGCCCCAGGGCAGCTGCTCCATATGGTATTTAAGGCACATTTTATCCAACTGCTCTTGTGAAAGCAAAATCTTAACCAAAGTGGGCAGAGACATCTTTTTGTGAAGACATTCTAGAACTAAGGTGGGCAGCCAACCACACAAGGAATCTCTGAAATCACTGTATGAGACATTCTCAATGGGGTGGTGCCCACATGACGTGCGCAGAGACAGAGGTTGAGAAGTGGTTTTCAAGAAAAGGCAGTGACCCACACTGAAGCCAGCGCAAGAACTGAGGCCAGGCACCACTAGACTCTGGTCACCTTTTCCCCGTTTTAAACAGGAGTCTTCTTGTCTGCAGTCACCACTAGAATAGGAGGTAAGGGGCTTTTTGCCTCTATCTTGAGCACAGTGATGATCACAGCTTTGGTGTCACAGACCCGAGTTCAAAATCCAGCCCAGCTACTTACTAGTTTGTGACGGGGGACACATGTCTGGTTACCTTTCTAAGCCTGTTTCCCCATTTGTAAAATGGGGACAATATCTACCCAAGATGGTTGTAAGGCTGAGTGAGAAAATGTGTAGAAAGAGCACAGTTCAGGGTGTTAAAATGTGGGCGAGAACCGTTGATCCTCACCTTCACACAACACAAGGCAGCTATGGGGGGACGTGGCTTCTACATTCGCGTCACTTTACACATAGTGGAAGCGCAGTAAATGCTAACTCAGTGACTGTCCTCGTCCAGGTTAGTGCCTATGGATTCATCACAAGCAACTACCAGAAATTTTCTGACCACTATTTCGAACGAATAAAGAAGCCACTGATATTCTACGCGAACCATGATCTGTCCCTGGAAGCCACCCTGTGGAAGGACCTGCACAAGGCTGGCATCCTTTGGCTGTACCAGCGCTGACCCTGAAGCACCCAAGACCTTTGTGTTTTTGCAGAGCTGAGGCCCTTGGCCCCTCAAGTGGCCAAAGCTGCCTTCTGGTCTTTTCAGCCTGAGAGGGGCTCCAACTGTCCTTGACCCTCCCCCCGCTTCTTCCCTACAGAGGACACCGAGTGGATGTGTGACTGTCACTGAAGCCTATTCTTTGTGAGACACCCCACCTTGTCCTCAGCTCATCTGGTCTGAGGCAGACATCCCAACCCTGGCCAAGAAAAAACGGACTGCTCTGTGCTGGATTTGTCTTTAAAACCGAAGATAACACTCTCAAGGTGAGACTGCCCCTCACCAGCGTGAGGCAGGCATCCTTCATAGCTGAGCGTTCCCAAGACAGTAGTGGCACGAGGTGACTAGGAGGTCAGTGGAGCGGCTCAGGGTCTCTCAGTTAACAAAGATCAAGCAGCAGCAGAAGCAAACGCACGCTTCTCAGCCCAAATCCTCCCACTAGCATGTCCAGCTTCACGCAAACTCCAAAGCAGTTCAACTCAAGGCCATGTCGGAACAGCCTTTCTGAGAACAGGACCGACTCACTTCTGCCCCGATAAATGTGATGTGGAACTAGATAATTGCATAAATGGTGGATAACCATTGTGTCTGTGTGTGTTGGGGAAAGTAGTATATCATGCAGGGTGTTTAGCACAAAGAATTCAGAATCCAAGAACCACGGGAATTTGATGGGAGTCAACCATGCAGAAGGTCACTGGCCCCTGATTAAAGTCCCGTTGGAGATGTATTACCACCTTGTCACCAAAAGGACATTACTGGGTAATTAACCCTCATTATCGGACACTAAACATCATGGCTTCAATAATTTGACTTGATATAGGCAGTTTTATTTTAGATTACATGGGCTTCTATAGAAGTGTAAACCAACTGAGTTATCACCATACTACCCCTTAAGCAAACCCTGGGATTTACTGTCCTGATGTCTAGTCTGATGTTGCTACACCCTACCCCGCAAGGCAGTGGAGGGGACAGGGGGATGTCTCCACAGGTCTGGTAGGCAAGAGCCTCCCTGCCCAAAACCTGGCCCTTGGGTCTGTCGTTTTGAAGGGACGATCCTATCAGCACACCTAACAAGAGGGATGAATCAAAATGCTACTTCAGAAATTGAGACATGTGATTAAGTGAAAGGACATTTAGGCTTTAATGACTAAAGCAGCTACTTGAGAAACCATAGCTTCCCGATGCCTGGACCCATTTTTATCCATACTTTATTTTCTCCTATTCCCATCACATCTGTAGTTACCAAAACCTGTCAACCGGTTAGAGGGGTATAAGAACAATTTAGTGGGAAACTTATAAACACCAAAACATCTGATTGCATCCTGTTACCTGCAACTATTCTGAAACTTTCACTTATAAAAGAATATGCTGAGTCACAGAATAAAACACTGCTTTTACACGGGTCTCAATCTGAAATCCACAAATGCTAGTAAGTCAGTTTTAAAATTTTTAAATTTGTTTCAAAGTTATACCCAAGACACACTGACTTCATAGGAAATCCACTGAGAAATGTCTTTCTGGGCTGAACACCTCTTTCCTTTTAGTCTCCCCAACAGAGCATGCACATGTTAATTACTTTCATTTTGTAATCACTGCTGTCCCGCCACTATACCAAGATCACCTAAACTGTGTGCAGTATTCTGAATGTTCTTAGTTATACCCTAATTTCACTAACTGGGATTTCACTTCTGGGATACCCTGTCACTTGAATTCTTTGGCTACTTTTGAAGATGAAGTCCAAAGAACTCTTAAATGATTCTCCTTTGAAGGGGGTGGTGGTATTTTATAGGCGTTAGCAACTAGCACCTGGGGCTGTGCTGATCCCATCTGGCATCACTGGGAGGCAACCTATAAAACCAGAGAATCGGGCTTCCCTTATTGGCGCAGTGGTTGAGAGTCCACCTGCCGATGCAGGGGACGCGGGTTCGTGCCCCAGTACGGGAAGATCCCACATGCCACAGAGCCTACGCACCCGGAGCCTGTGCTCTGCAACGGGAGAGGCCACAACAGTGAGAGGCCCGCGTACCGCAAAAAAAACCAAAAAACAAAAAAACCAAAGAATCATTTGATGCAGCAGCCAACTAAGAGACTCAAAACTGAGGTTAAATTTAAAGAAAAAACTAGAGAAAAAAAGGTGATCCTAGAGGAACTCTGAGCAATCAGTCATTACGCACGTGCGTGCATGTGTGTGTGCGTGTAAGGCACCACCAGATCAATTCAGTGCAGCCTGGTGGTTCCCGATGACTCCCCTTTTTGGGAGACTGTGATCTGAGGAAGCAGAATCTGGCAAGTGGCCAGTACCAGTAAAGAGCGGCCATGAAGTGCTGGCCACATTTATATTCAACCCCCTCTGGAGTCAAACCTACAGGTTCGGGAATTCCCTGGCAGTCCAGCGGTTAGGACTCATCACTCTCACTGCCAAGGGCCAGGGGTCAACCCCTGGCTGAGGAACTAAGATCCCACAAGCTGTGCGGCGCAGCTTAAAAAAAAAAACAGAAACAGAAACAAACCTACAGGTTCACTTGGGTCCCACAGAGCAGTCAAGTCCACGCAGAAGCAGGCTATAACCCAGGAGGTAGACTTTCTCACTTGCTAACACGTCCTTTTGCTTTGTTTTACTCCCAGCTATAAGCTGCTTGGACCGGTTTTCAGGCTCTTTAAATCTCACTCCAAATATAGCTTCCTTGGTGACCTAACAAATATGTGACCTTACGTATAAAGAGCTGCACACACCTCCCAACTTCAACAGAAAAGAAAGGCAATCTGTGTCCAGTTCAAGCCTGGCATTTAAATGGGAACAAAGCCCAGCTCCACTCTGCTACTCTCTTGCTCACATGCCAGCCATGCCATTCAGACAGAGCTGAGCGAACACCAGGAGAGCTCCCTGGTGTTAACAAAGCACCTGGAAACCAAATCGCTCTGCTAGTGCCACTGTACCGTCTTTCCTGAATGTCAGGATACGGTGCAAGGGGAAGAGGTCAGATAGTCCTGAAGTGTTCTCACTGCCACAGCTGCCATACAACTGCCATTCCCGTCTGTTTCAAACAGCACATTCATTTTCTTGAAATATGTGACAAGCACTCTTTCATTCCACAATAGAGTATGAACCAAATCTGGGCCACTTGCCCACTTCTGCCACCTCTTACAGCCTGTGCCCTCAGAGCCATTAATCAAGGGGCCTAAAGTGTGACAGGGCAGCCACACCACTGCTTTTCAAGCTGCAGAGGGGTGAATGCATTAGGACTGGGGTCTTGGCAGGGTATGCACAATTCCCTGTGGAGTCCATTCAATTCGATCCCTTAGAGCCTGAACTTCTTTTAAGAGCACAGGGCCAGCCCCTTAAGCCTCAGAACAGATGGTTTTCCCTCAGTTGAGATTTTCAGACGGGGATAACTAACCATCATAGGCTTGTGGGGCTTCTTTGGGACACGTAAGAAGAAAGAGAAAGCTTACAAACACGAGAAGAATCATCGTTTCACCTGCTTCAGGCAAAGCAGTTCAATTCTGTCTCACTCACTGCAGACACCCGGCGAAGAAGACAAACCTAAGTAAAAGTCTCCCTGCCACTCAGCACAACTCAAAGGCCAGGACAGGGGAAGCAAAAAGAACACTCCCCCCAAGCCTGTTCCAAAGATCTTCTCTATTACACACACGAGAGAAATTCCGCCTCGGGTCCAGGGCAGCGGAAACAGCACTGCTGCTAGTTAGTGTCTTGTTCTGGAGCATCCTTTTCGGCCTCAAACTGAGGCTGAGACTGTACCTGGCGAGGAGAAATTGCAAAGAAAAACCTATTCAAGAAGATATACACAATCTCTCTCAGGTAGCTCACTTTTAAATCAGGCATTAAAAAAACTTGGGAAACTGAGTCTCAGATATACAAATTCCACACAGAAAGGCCCTTCTTTGCCTTCAGACAGGGATAACTTCACATCATCATGGACTCAGCTCCCACCCCTCAGCCAGCCCGCAGCACTGTGCCTAGCTGTACCCAGCATCCCAGACCCGACACGCTGACAGTTCCTGTCCTTTTAAAGCCAGGGTCTCCCTTAGCACAAAGTGTCTAGCAGCCAAGTATGGTATATACATTCCAGCATCTTTCTGGTGTCAGTAAAATGCCTGAGACAGTGCGGATTACTCCTTTCAGCCAGACCACTGAAGGCCAGCTGCACAAAGGGTACCTGATGCCAAGAGGAATCGACATCAAACAAGGTCATTTCTCCTTCACTCACCTCTGTGTGCAAAACAATACTGCAGAGCAACCATGTGGCTTTCAGTGCTTTAAGACAGGGATTATAGATCTGCCCTGAGAGCTACTTAAAAACAGCCAGTACTATAATCTTGCTGTCACAAAAATCCCTGAGCTAAAAGTAGATCAGATCATCTAACTGTTCCTCCGTACCCGCTCTTAAACCAGAGCCATCTCATCATGGCCAGAGGTGGGGTCCAGAACATGTATACTACTTCAAACCTCTGTAGGTGCACAGCCAGGTTTGAGAAGCACCATTCCTGTTTTTACAAACTGAAGAAATAAGGCTCTGGTGCGGTCAACCTGGTAACAGGCTGAGACTGGAGTCTAGATCTCTCAAGTTAGTCTAACACGGGATTTCAACCTACCGACGCTTTGGGTGGGTAGCTCTTTGTCGTGGGGGCTGTCTTGCGCACTGCAGGGTACTTCGGGGTACTTACTGCGTCCCAGCGCACCCCGACCCCAAGCTGAGAACCACTGGCCTAACTCAGTAACTAGTTGTTCAACTAACACCTCAATAAAGCTTAATAGTTTCTTTTGGAATAAGCTGTGATAATTTTGTTACAATCTGGTTGAGACACACCTCTTTACAACTGACAATATTACATCAGTGACATTTTCTAAATTAAAAAAAAAAGCTTAATAGTAATAATAACACCCCCCCCACCTCCCAAAATCAATTAGCTATATCTTTATGGTTCTTTAAAAACAAAACAAAAAAACACCTAGCCGCGTACTATGGGTGAGTGAACTCATTGTCTTGGTTTACTTACTCAGTAGCAACTCAGGGAAAATATCTACCCCATGTCGGGTTGTAACAAACACTGCGAGGCTGCTTCGCAGGGGTCTAGCAAAGAGTTCCATACCACTTCTCTTATCCAGCCACTAATAATCCTGGAAGACCCACACATCTCAGAATCTAACTGACCAACACTTAAAGGGATCATAACCTATGCAATTCTGTGAAAGAGCTAAAAATCTTACCATTCATAGAAATTTCATCACAAAGATCCTTACACTCAGTATCTTTGAACGATGGTTTTCATGTGACTTTTTTCCAAGTCCACAGCCAACATCTTTAATCTAAAAGAGAAATACGGATAACACACTTCATTCTAACAGAAACCAACTTAAGATATTGATTCTCGATGGTGTTTAAAAAAGCTGAACCTAAGCGAGTCAGAACTCCTCACAAAAGATGTCCTTTCAGACAGGGATAACTTCAAACCAACCTCAGCTCAACCAGTGACAAAACATTTCTAAATCCCAGCCAAGCAAAGCTCATTTTCCAAGTCTTCCTTTCACCCCTGTATGCAGCGGCATCCACTTTCATTTCAGTGACACCTAGTGGCCCCGATTACACTGGCTCAGGCCATCCTCACTTCTGGATTCTAGGCAGGACCCTGATGGGACCTCTGGGTCCACCCGGATTCACAGAGCCGAACTTCAGAATTGAGACCAGAGCGTGAGGGCGCGGTATGCGGTAGGCCTTCACACCACCTCCCCCTTCTCACTTCTGGTGCCCCCCCAGGTCTTACCTGCATCCATTCTTACTCATTTCAGGGTTCCATTCGCTGGTTTTAAGCTTCAACGTGCACGTCGGCTTCTCACCATCTCTGCAGTTGCCAAACAAAGGCCTGTGGGGAACGAAAACGTGAGCGTTTTAAGGGTCGTTGTAAAACTACGGCCTACGGCTTTCCAAACAAAGTCCACCATCCCCCTAATTACCATCTTTGGAGTTACATAAAAACTGACTGGCGCCGTTCAGCCGGTAACACCCCTGAAGTGAACCGAGAACCGCCCCTGTCAACCTGCTCCGTGTAAAGACCTGGGGACCTGCCAAGGCCGCGGGGCTGCGAGCTCAGCACATGGGTGTCTGCAAAGCCGGGGAGGGGGGCGCGGGGGTTGCGCAATACGGGAGGGCCGCTCTCCCCCAGGCGGGCCGCTCCGACGCCAAGGTGGGCTTGGGCTCTCCCCGCTCACTAATGAACACTCGCGCCCTTTGGAAAGCGTTTCCCCAGTTATCTCAGCGAATCCTCCCAACCACCCTACTGGGGGCGAGACCAGGCTTAAGAGTCACCATTTCTCCTTCGAGGAGGGGGCGGCCGAGTGTGCTAGCGCCGTGTCAAGAAAGACCCCGTTTTCCCACCTCCGCAGCCTTACCGCCGCCAAAGGTCCGAGGTTGCCGGCCTAGCTCGGACCAGCCTGAGGCCGCCATGACTTCCCGCCACGAGACCGACGCCGAAAAGAGAGAAGGGCCGCGCCTGCGCGCAAGTCTTCGCGGCAGTCTCGCCGGAACTCTCGCGCTGTTGAGAAAAGGCTGATGGGAAATGTAGTGCAAACATTCGCCGCTGCGGGGCAGCCGCGTCCTCAGCGCGGCTCTGGACCCGGGATTAGATGGTGGCCGCCGCCAGGGACAGTAGAGAGCCCGGGGTGAGAGGCCTGCTCTGTATAGAACCACGGACGTTAGAAAACGAAGGTGGACTGTCGCCTCGTCCACAAAGTCATTTATCTATTGAGTGAACAGGGTGTCCCTGGCCGAGATTGGGTGGGCGGTGGAGGTCTCAGAAAACTCGAGGGGACTTCACGAGAGGAACGGTTGAGGGAACTGAGGCCCTGCCGGATTTCGTTCTTAATTGCTGTGCGGATTTTATTTGGGGCGGGGCGAGTTCGTCTGGGGTGGTTGGCTGCGTTAGCGAAGAGGAGGGAGATTCCCGGGAAATTGTTCGACGTCCCGCTCAGTTGCTCTTAGTTGGGGCGAGAGCAGTGGGGCACGGGCGCGGCCGGCAGAGGGCGCCCGAGAGCGACGGGCTGGGCCGGGCTCTAAATTACCCTGAACCCGGGGGCTTATCCCCGCGCCTCAGGTCCCGCCGCCCCGCCGCCCCGCCGCCCCGCCGGGGCGCGGCTTTAATTCCGACAAGGAAAAATAATCAAATTACGAAAAGAACTGAGAATAGTGTAATGCCCTCTGCTACTCCTGAGTGTTGATTTTCAGGTAATCACCCCGGCTTCAGTTTTGAAATAACAAAAGGGCAAAACAACAACTAGAGTCAGAGCCAGAGTTTACACCTATTTGGAAATTGGTTTAAACTTGCAAGACCACGAAGCCTTTTCTGTATTACCTTCTCCCCATGCTCATCAGCCCTCAGCAATGATCTCAGTGGCATTTAGTCTGGATTAAATTGTTCTGTTTGTGGTAATACACTGTGGGTACTTATTTTCAAGTTACCACATTTGTTAATATTCGCCTCCCTCAATTGGACTGTGAGCTCTTCAAGGCAGAAGTCTATTTTAATTTGTTTTTTCTTTTTAATTTCCTCACAGGCCTAGTTGGTATTCCACTGCCTCTGCTCACAGTAAGTACTTCACAAATATAATCATGAACTTAGCAATAGCTTCTATCGTGTGAAATTGGCCCTTACGTTTCTCTATCTTACCCTTGAAGACAGATTATTTTGTATAATACCGAAAGAAAGAATGGGGTCTCTCCCTGCAAACTAAATTCCTTTCATCTCAGACCCTAAGTGCGGAATTTGCCAAAAACTGCTTGTGTGGGCAGGTGATCTGCAGGCAAAACAATGATGATAGCTAGCACTTCATAGCACTTACTGTATGCCACTCACTCCTTGAGTACTTTACGGATATTAATTCGTTTAATCCTCACCACTGCACAGTGCAGTGTATTATCACTACCCCCTTTTTACAGATGAGGAAACAGAAGCATTGAGAGATGATGTAACTTGCTCCAGTTCACACAACTAGTAACGGGTGGTGTCAGGGTTTGATCCCAGCCTGCAGAGTCTGTGCTTTCACCACAAAGTTATACTGCACCGTGTGTGTATATATATAAATGGATCTTATATATAAGGGTTTTTGGTTTGGGGGGAAGGGGAAGGAAGAAGGATTTTGTGTGTTTGCATGGGTGGTTAGGGAGGAAACTGGGGGAGAATGATGGGCACCTGTTGCACTGTTTCGAGCCACTTTCTGGCAGGAAGAGTGAGGGTGAGAGCCTGCAGGAGCTGATCAGTGAAAGGCAGAGGCTCTGGGCCCTGGCAGGTCTGTTTTGGGTCCCAGACTAGTTGCCACTCAGTGTGCAGTGAGGGCCATTTGTCGCAGCTCGAGAAGGGCCACTGTGCCAGAGGCCACAGTGTAGCTTTCACACCTGACAGGGCACTTGGTGGAGCAGCAACAGGCTCACGGCGGATGGCAGTGTCACGGGCTGCTGGGCTGTGGCCAAGCGGCCGGAGCAAAATGCAATGAGAGGCCTGCGTCTGAGCACACGTCAGGTGCACTGCTTAGGCAATCCAGAAATAACTGAGAAAGACTTCAAAGAATGCACCAGAATTCCTGAATGAGCTGGCAAGGGCTCGGAGCTCTTGAGACGGAAATGCTAAGGCCAGTGTGACTTCATTTGCACTCGTTGCTGGTGAGGTCTAGGACGTTTGAGTTTTACATTATTCAAGGCCGGTGTAGACCTCTATTTATTACGCGGAAAGAGTCACACAGTCTAGTGATAAGTGACAGAAGTAGATCACAAGCTGAACAGGGCAAGAGTCCCCAGGGCCGTTCAAGGGACCTCGACTCTGAGTGCAAAGGGGAAATCTGGTCAGCTGGCCTGCTGTGCTCAAGCGGTCAGCTCACTGAGTTCCAGTCACTGCTAGGATTTAAGACATGGTACCCGAAACCCACATATAGAAAACAGAGTCTTTAAATATTGAGGTGAATTTCTTAACCTGAAAAGGAATCTTTAATTTTATTAGTAAAAGCATGAGGAGGGTAGGTATATCCCAAGCAGCTGGCTGCTTAACTGGGAGCAGATGCACCAGTGATATCCCGGGAAGTTCACCCGTGTGGCAGGCACTCCTAGTCCTGCAGCTGTCCTTCCTCTGTCTTACAAACAGCAGAGCTACTGGGCAAGCCCCTGCCCTGCCCAAAGGAGTGCATCTCGGCCATAGAAAGCTATTCCCTTTGCCAGGAATTGTTTCAGGAAAGGGTCTGCGGCGCAGTTCTGCCAGGTTTGGGAACGTTTTCTAGTTTTTAAAAACAGTAGCCTCTCTTCCGGCTTTGGGACATCGTGAGGAGATGCCTGAGAGCACCGAAGCCATCTTGTATCCATGACGCCTGTTTCCCAGCAAGAGCGGAAGGTCTGTGGTGGCAGAGAGGAGAAAAGAGCATGAACCCTTGAAGATGCTTTTGAACTGCTGGAGAAACCAGTCCCCAAACCCCCTGCCTTCAGACCTTTTGTTTGATTCAGAGACACGTATTTTTACATGTTAGTATTTCTGAATGTGGGAGGCATCTTTTGAGCAATGGCATCTTAGTTTCAGTGAAATACAGAGTGTGAGATTTAAGAAAGAAACCACCGTGTTGTTTAAGCCATCTCAAGTTGGGTGTTCTGTTAGAACCAAAATCATCCTGGGCTTCCCTGGTGGCACAGAAGGTAAGAATCCGCCTGCCAGGTCTTCCCTGGTGGCGCAGTGGTTGAGAGTCTGCCTGCCGATGCAGGGGACACGGGTTCATGCCCCGGTCCGGGAAGATCCCACATGCTGCGGAGCGGCTGGGCCCGTGAGCCATGGCCACTGAGCCTGCGCGTCCGGAGCCTGTGCTCCACAGCAGGAGAGGCCACAACAGTGAGAGGCCCGCGTACCACCAAAAAAAAAAAAAAGAATCCGCCTGCCAGTGCAGGGGACAGGGGTTCGAGACCTGGTCCAGGAAGATCCCACATGCCGCGGAGCAACTAAGCCCGTGCGCCACAACTACTGAGCCCACGTGCCACAACTACTGAAGCCCGTGCTCCTAGAGCCCGTGCTCCGCAACAAGAGAAGCCATCGCAATGAGAAGCCTGCACACCGCAACAAAGAGTAGCCCCTGCTCGCTGCAACTAGAGAAAGCCGCACGCAGCAACAAAGACCCAACTCAGCCAAAAAAAGAATCAAAATCATCCTAAATGATATGATTGACATTTTCCGAAATTTTTTTTTTTAATGATTATTCTCTGGAAGGATGGATCGTGGTAAAATAAAGACAAACTGACACACTCAAATTACCATCCTGAAAAAAATAACAGCTGGTGTCTAGTGTTGACTCCATGCCAGGCACTGCTCTAAACACCTTTTTTAAAAAACCACTTTATTGAGATCTGAGTGACGTACAAAAAGCTGCCCATATTTAATGTATAAAACTTGACGATTCTAAGCACCTTCAGTTTGCTATCTCATTTGACTCTCAAAACAGCCCTGTCATTATCCTCCCATTTTGCAGCCAAAGTGCAGAAACATGGAAGTCGTTAGTAAGTAGGGGCACTGAGAACTCAATCTAGCCTCCAAACCTATGGTTTTAACTGCTGCGCTGGATTTCCTGGAAAAATACGCTATGACAGTGGATCATGTTTTGTTAACTCTGGTGATTTTAATTCATCCAGCCCATCATAAAAGCATAGGGGATGTTTTCCCTTCAGTTTCTCAGGACTGTGAAAGAGGGCCACAAATCCTGTTCAGGATCTGGGACCACTGAACACAGCTTTAACTTCCTGGAGGAGAAGAAACAGAACAACACGAACCCTAATTATTGAGGATGGATGACCTTGGGTTGCGGTGGATTCTCTCCTGTGTTGACCAATAGCACACACTTCACTAGCCTGCTCAGAAGATCTGTTGCCTCTCATAAAATTATTACTTAATGGGTTTTTAAAAAAATAAGTGAATTTGAAGAATAGGTAATATCCCATTGACCTCTTCTGCTGTTTTCTGGACACATCTCTCCTTTCCAGAAACCCTGCCTTCTCACAACTGCTGCAGCACCTTTGCTCATGCTGTTTGTTTCCTTTGCGTTGACATTTCCTTCCCTTCATCCTTCCCTCTGCGTAGCAAATCCCAACTCATGCTTCAGTACCCCCTTGAGAAATTTTACCTGAGGTGCTCAAGCAGTCCCCTAGCTCTTTCCTCAGCATCCACAGCAGGCTGTTTTGGCACACGCTCTGCTGCTTCGAGCTGAGTAACCCCAAGCAGATGACTTCACCTCTCTCTAAGGTTCCTTATCTGCAACAGGAGGAGGCAGAGGCTCTCCCAAACCCCACACGACGGTCTTAGGACTGTGCACGCAAAGAGTATCTAGCACGCCCGGGCACGAGGGAAGCACTCAGTAAGCGGCACTCTTATTATGTGAACGTACATACTTCTTTTAATGCTCACTGTTTTATGATTATTTGTTTTCGTGTCTGGCTTTTCTACTAGACAGCAAGGCAAGAATCAAGTCTTCGTTCTTGTTTTTTTTGGTTTTTTTTTTTGAAACTCCTTAAGTCATCTTTTTTGAGGTGTAATTTACATACAATAAAATGCATCCATTTAAAATGTACAGTGCAGTAGTCCAATAAGGAATACACCTATGCAGCCACGACCCCATCACAATTGAGAACATTTTCATCGCCCGGAGATCCCCTTCACACCCTTTTACAGTCAGGTCTCCATACAGCCCCGGCCCCAGACAACCACTGGTCTGCTTTCTGTCACTAGAGATTAGTTTTCCCTGTTCCAGAATTTCATATAAATGGAGTCATACCGTAGGTGCTCTTCTGTGTCTGGCTTCTCTCAATTACCCGTGTTGTGGCTTAGATCAGTAGTTCATTTCCTTTTTAATTACTGAATATCATTCCATTGTATGAATACACCACAACATTTTTATTCCCGTGCATGTTGGTGGACCTTTGGGCTGTTTCCAGTTTGGAGCTATGATGAATAAAGCTGCAATGAACGTTTTTGTACACACCTTTTTGTGGACATAAGTTTTCATCCCTCTTAGACAACTGCAGGGGAAACTGTCAAACGGGTTTCCCAAGTGCTTTGTGATGCTTACACTCCCCCAGCAACATATTACAGAGTTACACTTGCTCCACACCCTTACCAACACCTGTTATGGTCAGTCTTTAAGCCATTCTGGTAGGTGTGTCATAATGTCTCATTGTGGTTTTAACGTGCATTTCCCCGTTGACTATCATGCTGAGCATCTTTCTGTGTGTTTGTTGGCCCTATGTATACTTTTTTGTGAAGTGTCTGTTAAAACCCTACCTTTTTGTATAGGCCTATCTTCTTATTGAGTTGTGAAAGTTCTTTATATATTCTGGATACAGGTCCTTTCTCAGATACTTGCTTGGGAGATATTATCTCCCAGTCTTTCCAGTTTTGATCAAGTCCAGTTTATCCATTTTGCTTTTATGGTTAGTGCTTTCTGTATTCTATTGAAAAGATTTTCCTTGCTCCACTGAATCACCTTTGTCCTGTCTTTGGATCTCATTGATCTGTATGTATGTCCTTTGCAAAGCCCCCCACCCAGCACCGTCTTGAACTCTCATCATGTCTCCTCATCCTAGTGAGACCACCGTGGTCTGCGTGGTCTGCCCTCCCCGCGCCGCAGGCAGGGAACTGTCTGAGGCAGACGCTGAGGCAATCATGAGGTCACCGTCCTGTGTGCTGTGCATTGTCAAGTGTCTGTTTCTTATATTTTGCTCAGTTTTCTGGTTGTTTGTGGCAGGAAGTCTTAATTCATTTCTGCATCCCCAGTGCCTGGCACACAGACACTCCATGAATGTCTGTTGAGTGAGCGAGCCCTTGTTAGCACCTCCAGACACAGTCCACCAGAGTCTCTCTCTCTTTTTTTTTTTTTTTGCGGTACGTGGGCCTCTCACTCTTGTGGCCTCTCCCGTTGTGGAGCACAGGCTCCGGACGCGCAGGCTCAGTGGCCATGGCTCACGGGCCCAACCGCTCCACGGCATGTGGGATCTTTCCGGACTGGGGCACGAACCTGCGTCCCCTGCATCGGCAGGCGGACTCTCAACCACTGCGCCACCAGGGAAGCCCCAGAGTCTCTTTTGATTGGGAGAAGCTGTGGAGCCCCCAGAGGTCATCTGGTCCATCCCCTGCATCTTAGTAGACAGTTCTTTTCCTGAGGATGGTCACTAGTCCTTTACGTCCCCAGCGCCAGCCCACCTGGGTTCAACACATGCCTATTAAATGGGGAGATTGAGGTCCAGAGAAGGAAAGGTCAAGTGACCAGGCAGTGGCTGGGCTGGCAGAACTGGACCTCCCAGGCCAGGATCTTGGTCTTGTACTAACCAGCAGGGCAGGCACTGCCTCTTATCGCTGTCTCATTCCCAGCACCTCACACAGGATTTGTACATTGTAGGCTCCCAATACGTGCTTGTCAGATAGGAGCAAGTGAATAAATGGAATAGTTTCCTCTAATACTTAGTTTAGCTGGCTTCTGCGTGTGATGTTATGTGGGCGTGTGTGTGTTCACAGAAGGATAGGACTGGCCATTCCTACACAGGCTCGTAGGTCATGGTCATCTGTAACTCTTTTAATTTTCTCTCCACCCTCTAGGCTTAGTCCCCACTAGGGGGCATGTGCATTCCACAGAGAGGGTCTGCACTTCTAAAGTTCCAGGACTTGTTTCCAGTTTGTCCGTGGATCCCTCTTGAAGCTACCTCCTTGGTCCACATGCCCTGCGCCCTCCCCCTGCAAAAACAAACAGCTCCCTGCTCCTCTAGCTCCGCCTCCAGCCGGGCCGCTGGCTGCCATCGTCTCCCTCCCAGGGGCTCTGCCCTGGTTGAAGGAGGTAGCAGAATGGCAGTGGCAGTGGCTCTCAGTGCTGGCCTCGCCGTCCGTCACCCCTGCCGGTGGCCACTGCTTCCTCCCTGAAGGGGATGACAGATCCTGGAGGGTCCACTCTCCTCCTTCCCCTCAGCTGGTAGACAAGGACTGGCCTTTCGCGACCCAGAGTCTGGTCTGCCCTTGAACCCCAGGTTCCTGAAGAGAGAGCATGTGAATCACCCTGGCAAACCCCGCCCGGCCCACCTGCAAAGGCACTGCTGGGGTGAGGCCGCAGCTCTCATGCCTTGTGCCTGGAGGACGGTCACCCCAGGCTTTCCTCACAGGCCCCGCTCTAGACTGTTCCTTCCTCGCCCGACAGCCTCACAAGCTTGGGCATCAGCGTTGCCCAGGCACAGGTCCTGGCTTTGCCACCAGTTGCGCGTGACCTTGAGTGGGTTCTGTGAACCTCACTTTCCGTATTGGGTAAATGAGGTTAACAGCAGTTCCTGCCTCATAAGTGAGACGATGCTTATGAATAAAGCTCTTGGTACAGCGCCTAGCACGGAGTAAGTGTCTGAGACCTATTAGCCAGTATTAATAATATGAGTGGTATCATCATCATGATAGTCAAGTAAACCTTAATATGAGCCACTTGGCTACTCTCCTTCTTTTGAGGCTCACAGAGAAGCATTACTGCCTCTATCTCAAGGTCTTGGGCTTCTTCCTAACAGTGAGGGCCCTGCAGAGGGGTCCTGGGAGCCTGGGGGAACCAGTCGGGTCCCCTGCTGTTGTGCTGCGCCGTTGTGCCGGCCTCCAATAGGCGCCGTGCCCCCTAGTCTAGGACCGGGGCCTGTGCTCTCTGCCCCTGCCCAGGACTATCGTGCCTGTAGACACTAGGTCACACGTTTGGGATGGGCGGGTACTCTCCCCGGTTGCATCTGCACCCTAGGGTGATGCCAGGCAGCTGTGGCAGCTGCTTCCCTTGCTCCCCCGCCCCACCCCTGGCACCTCATTAGCTCTCTGGTCGTGTCCCAATCTCCAGGAGAGACTGGCAGCGGCCCTGAGCTGCAGCCACAGAAGTAGCAGACAGCACCTCCCCGCTCGCTCCCGGCTGCTGCCCTCGGCCACCCTGCAGCTCCGAGCAGCCTTTTCCCTGTCACTCAGGCTCCCATCAGTAGGGAGATTAGCATTCAGACGGAGGATGGAAAAGAATCAGGACAACCACCTCCTGTCTTCTCTGGGAGCTGAGATTCATTCGGAGAAGCAGAGCCCGTTGCGGGGAAGGTATCCAGGCCAGGACCCTCCCACTGGAGGTTGGGACAGGGTTCTAGATACCGAGAAGCAACAGTGGTGCACTCTGGTACCATCTCACTGGGTGCTGGGTCTTACTAGGTGGCCCCCACCCAGAAGTTCCACCTTCTGCTCTCCTCTCATTTGTTTCAGGGTTGCCCGTTGCCCAGCTGGTGTGTATGTGGAAAGACAGGCCAGGAAGGGCTGTGGGGAGGGGGTGAGGGACTCTAGCTGTTCTGAACCTACTAACTGTTCTGAAATGACTAACTGTTCAGTAATTGACAGTTTATAAACACAATTACACTAGCTTACATATACTGAACACTCACTAAACATGGTAAGCCCTTGACACGCATTATCTAATTTAACACTACAATAATCCTGTGAGAAGGTTTACTGTTATCTCCATCTTATAGATGAGGAAACTGAGGCATAGAGACGTTCAGTAACCTACCCAAGGCCACAGAGGTAGGACGTGGTGGCGGCGTCAAGATTTCAACCCGGTGCCCTGACTCGGGGCTCCTCCCTCTCAGATCCTTTATCATCATTTCATAAGAGCCCACACCCCGGACCAGGAGTGACCCAGCTCTGTCTCTCGAGTTGCCCTTAATCCCCCCCTCCTGTTATGGTCAGTCTACCAAGCCCCTGAACTTTCCTGCTCCCATTTCCAAGCAGCGGCTCTTTCCAAGGAAATGGGAGGGGAGAAGGACTCAGCCTTTTGGGAACATTGGGTCCACCCCAGCATGGGCTTCCTACCAGCTGCTGTGACAGGAGATGGTGGGCCGAGGAAGGGGCGCCTCGGTCCCGGGCAGCCTCCCGTAGAGGCTCTCTAGGCCGAGGGTGGCAACTCTCTGCAGCAGAAGCTGCCAATATGCAGACTGTGCAGAGAGCCCAGGGGTGGGAGAGCCCTGAGAAGAAGAGGCGAGCGTGGGCCGGGTGTGTGGGGAAGGTGTAAACACAATCTGCTCCCACCGAAGCCAGCCTGCTCCCTGGGGGAGAGAGCCCCTCCTGCCCAGCCCACATGGCACCCCGGCTGCCAGGGCCTGGGCAGCCTCCAAGCCCAGGCAGACACATCCCCCCACCTCCAGCAGCCCCTTCCTCTTGCTTTCCCTCCCTCCATCTGGAACCAGTCCCCAGAGGAGCCTTCATCTCCTGAGCAGGCTCTTAGAACAGGGCTGCAAAGGGGTGTCACTTTGTGGATGTGCGTCTGGGCCGTGAGCCAGCCCCGGTGCCGCTAGGCGACCTTGGTCTGACAATTCCTAAGCCCAGTGGAAGGAGACAGGCAACTTGAAAATGGCAGAGAGCGGAGGCAAGGATGAAGTGACAGGAATATGGCAAGTAGATTAGAGAATGGATGCATACATTGGATCACGGAGTACAGACTGGGTCCCAGAGCAGTGCGCTCCGGCCCTCAGCCTGAGAGTCCTGTCACCAGGAAGGCTGATGCCTCCCAGGGAGAAAGACATGCTGACAGGAGCTGAGACAGGTGGTCACGAACTCGTGGCCCGCGTCAGGGGTGCAGCTCCTTCCCCTGATGAGACCCTTCCCCTGCCTCCGCCCTGCCCTACTTTGTGAGGCTCCCACAGAACCGCCAGGCTCCCTGCAGCAGCCCCCCCAACTCCCCATCACTTCAGAGTGGGTTCCCCGAGTCCAGTCGGCTGCACCTCACCCTTTCCTGCTGTCTAGAGAACTCCCCCGGCTCCTCTTTCCTGAAAGTCAGGGGCGGGGCCCAGCCGGGCAGAGACCTTGTTGCTGGATGGGCAATGGGGGCTGGATGGGGAGGTGAGATGCACATGGGGGGAATCTGGGGGGCTTTGGAAGACGAATGGCTGCAAGGCAGCTGGCAGCAGCAGCCTGCAGGGTCTGCGCCTGGACCGCAGGGAGCAGAAGCGGAAATCTGCTTTTCTGTCTGCTCAGGATCAGGCAGGATGGTAAAGAGAGAGAAAGGGCAGAGCAGCTGGGGGCAAAGGAGGCCACCGCCGTTACCGAGCAGTCAGCAGATTGACGGAAGCAAGTGTCATGCTTTTTCCCTTCCCACATGCTACTGCCCATTTGGGACACGGGCACGCGTGCACACACACACACACACAGAAGACACACTCCGAGGACAAGCTGTGAGTTGCTTCCATCCAGCTGTAGGCAGACATGTCACAGATCCGAACGGCATTTCCTATTGATCATTTCAGCAGAGCAGCCAGTGGCAGGGTGACCTCTGGGGACCAGGGAGAGGCAAATGTCATAGGAAGTGAGTGCCACCATCGCAAAGTGACACCACACAGCCCTGGACAAGCTGAGCTGCCAAAGATGGGCGGCCAGGCCAGTAAAACTGCGTCTTCCACTGAGCAGCTGCAGACTTGCAGGCGGCTTCAGGGAGGCCTGCGCTGTGGGCGTGAAGAGCATGGGCTCTGCAACCTGCCTGTGAGCCTGGGGTCCTCCACTTACTAGCTGGGTGACGCTGGGCAAATCAGCAGAGCTCTCTGTGAGTTTCCTCATTTCTAAACCGTGGACAGTAACATGACCAGCCTCCGTGGGTTGTTGCGAGGGTTCAGAGGAGGGTGAAAGGGCAGCCCTTCCTTTGTGAATGTGAACCATCTCTGTCCCTCAGTTCTGGAGTCTCCTCGCCCCCCACTTGTTCCCTCCTCTAGCCCCGGGCGGCAGGGGTTGCCCCCGAGTTAGATGGGGGGACCCCACTGAGTCCCTCTCTCTGGGCCTCCTCAGAGGAAGGGAGCCCGTCCCAGAGCTTGAGCACCTCTGCCCCTCCCGCCTGCCCGGCCAGGCCCAGCTTCAGAAGCCCCAGAGCCAGGGCCTTGGGGGAAGCGCAGACTGGTGGGTCTGGGGGCCGAAAAGGGGAGTCTACCTTCTCAATGGCTGCTTTCCCTAGTCTCCCTCCTGCAGCTCCTTCCACCACGGTGTCCTTCGGGGGTGGGGGGCACACCAGGACGTGAGCTGAAAGAGAAAACCAAGCCGGGTCGGCTCTCTCTCCCACCCCAGAGCGGGGCCTTGTATTTCAGAGTGGGCATCCCAGAGCACTGCCTCTCCCTGAGAAGTCCTCTAGACAGCCCTCAGGCCCCCAGCAGGACCACCATCCCCAGGCCTAGAAAATGCTGTTGAGACCACACGTAGTTCTCTTAAAACTAACCCTTGCCCTGTGGCCTGGAACATAACAGGCTCAAAGTAGGAGCCGACGGAAGGAGTCCACCCTCCTACCCTTAACCTCCATCGTGACCACAGAGCTGAAGACAGCCTGCTCTGCTCCCACATGGCCAGGCCTTGCGTGCTCTGTATTCTTCCTTTCTTGTCCCCAGCCCTGCCCTCTCTCCTCCAGGCTGCAGCCCCTGCCCTACCTGCCAGCTGATCCCTGGCCCTGGCGCGGAGCTCCTCCTGAAGAGGCGAGGGCTTACTTCAGTGGTTCTTTCTCTCTAAACAGAAAAGAGCATGGAGTCAGGAGACTGGAGGATGACCCTCCCACGCTTCCAGCCTTCCCCTTCCTCCTGCCCCCAAGCCTAGCGATTCACCCCACTATTGAGGGTGAATCAGCAACACCCCAGAAGCCAATTGGAATTTATGACTGTGGAACCGGAGAGCAGAACTTTCACGTCTACTGCCCCGCTGGGCCAGCCCTCCGTGGAGCCACCACTGGCAGAAGGGGTTGGTTGGTAGACCAGTTAGCTGGGTCCCAAGGAGTTAACAGGCAACTGCTTCCTTCTGGCAAGGCCACAGCAGACCAGGCCCGGCCAGATGGTTCCAGATTTGGCCTTTTCTCTCCCGACAGGAGGTCCAGGGGCATTTCAGTCGAGGAGATGGACTGCCTGAAGTCAGGGACCTGTCAGTCCCACATCAGCCACAAATTGGGTGGACGATGTTGAGTAAGTCATTTACGTCTCCCTGCCCCTCAGCTTCTTGCACCATTGACAAGAGCTAGAAACACCTGAACTGCCAAACCTTTGGGGCCATGGAGACTTCCGAGTGAGTTAATGTATGAGAAACCCCTGAGGAAGAATAAAGCACTGATCATATAACAGCAAGAGTAGAGCTGGCGTTAACTGAGCAGTTACTCTGTGCTGAGTGCTTTACTATGGTTATCTCATTTAAACCTCACAGAAACCTCACAACCAGTCCGTTATTAATCACAGTTTATACATATGAATAAAAAGATTACATAATTTGCCCACAGCC